AAATATCGTAAAACGAAGTTTCACACATGCATATACACACACATATATACATATATAGATGCACTGACCAAATGATTCCACATAATATCATATCAATATCAGAATCAGAATCACATGCAATATAAATACCTAATTTCTTAAAATTAGATTTAATTCCCTACTGCTTACCTCCTACCGATACTTTCTGGATTTTATAACTTCACCCAAATCTCCTCCAACGTACACCTGTCCCATTATTTACTCAAATCAGATGAGCTTTATGCTTATTCTCAGGAGCTACCTGCTTATTCAAAAGCTAATTTCTATAATTAACTCGTCGGGCTCCAAACTTTTATATTTAGTAGAATATGATATTCTAGCTATAAAATCCTTCTACCTCATAATATTTATATTGCCCGATTATTAAATAAAAATACGCAAAGGTATGAACAAGCAGGCAGGTGCGATATACTGCCGTTTTTTTATTCGACTTGGATTGGTACGAAATTCTCAAAATATAATGTCGGCGCTACGAATAGGCTATTAGCTAAAGAAATTCATCGATTAAATAGCTAAATAGCCAATTTTGAATTTTTTGAAGAATTTCTAATTTAATACTCCAATATCAAAATTCGTATTAAAATTTATAATCGGACTCTACGAATAGCAAGGAATACCATACCCAAGTCGGAATTGGAATCGGACGGCTAAATCTTTTTCTTTTTTTTTTTTTTTTTTTTTTCTTTCTCTCTTCTTCTTCCTCCCTTCCTTCTCCTCCTTTGGTTCGTTGCTGCTGCTGCGTTGGATTCTTTCTTTCTTTTCATATTATATATATATATTATATTATTATTATTATTAAACGTTATATATTATTATTATATTATTATTATTAACGATGATGATAAGGTTCTTATCATCATCTACTATATTATTATTATATATATATTATATATTATATATTATATATTATATTTATATTTATATTTATTTTTAATTTTATCGATATTTATCCATTTAACATTCTATTTAATTATAACTAATATACAAAATTGGAATATAATTTATCCCAAAATATTAGTTTCTTGATTCCATTACTATTGTCAAATATTTATTTGCTATAATAATATTATTTTATACATTCCGAAATCGGGGCATTACAATCCACTCCCCTTTAAAAAGATTTCGTCCCCGAAATCTAAACTCAAACACATAACAAGGAAACTTAATTAAACAATTGTGGGTATGCTTTGAACATTTCTTGTTCTACTTCCCACGTGGCCTCTTCCGCTCCATGTCTGGACCACATTACTTTCACCATACGAATATCTCGATTCCTCATGGTTCGGACCTTTGTGTCCATGATCCACAGAGGCTTTTCTTCATACGAAAGATCTTCATTCAGCTCTATCTCATCTGGAGATAAAATATGAGAAGGATCTGCAACATACCTACGAAGCTGAGATATATGAAACACATTATGGATACGCTCCATAGAATTTGGAAGTGCCAACCGATAGGCCCAATCACCAACTCGATCGACAATTTCATAAGGTCCAACATAACGCGGACTCAATTTTCCTTTAATCCCAAACCTTCTAATACCTTTCATTGGGGATACTTTCAATAAGACAAAATCTCCACTTTGAAATTGACCCTCACGTCGGGCTCTATCGGCATAACTCTTTTGACGATCTTGAGCTGCCTTCATCTTTTCTCTGATAATTCGAATCTTATTTTTCGATTCCTCAATCATTTCCGGACCCAGTATCAGTCGATCACTCATATCGTCCCAACTCAAAGGAGTTCTGCATTTTCGACCATAAAGAGCTTCAAAAGGAGCCATTCCGATACTTGCTTGATGGCTATTATTATATGAAAATTCCACTAAATCCAAGTGGTCTTCCCAACTCCCTTGAAATTCCATAGCACAAGCTCTTAGCATATCTTCCAGAATACGGATAGTTCTTTCTGACTGACCATCAGTCATAGGATGGAATGCAGTACTCATATGCAACTGAGTACCAAAGGCTTCCTGCAATTTTTGCCAAAATCGAGATTGAAAACGTGGATCACGATCTGATATGATCACCTCAGGAATACCGTGTCGTTTAACCACATAATGAACATATAATTTGGCCAATTTCTGCATACTCCAAGTCATACGTACTGGAATGAACACTGCTGACTTGGTCAATCTGTCTATAATTACCCAAATTGCATCTGTTCCCGACTTTGACCTTGGAAGTCCTGTTACAAAATCCATTGCGATAGAATCCCATTTCCAGAGTGGAACTTCTAAAGGTTGTAGCAACCCCATTGGTCTATGATGTTCTGCTTTTACCTTTTGACAATTTAAACATCGTGCAACAAATTTGGCTACATCCTTCTTCATGCCCTTCCACCAAAAATGTTGACGTAGGTCATGATACATTTTACTTCCCCCCGGATGCACTGAGTATGGTGTATTATGAGCCTCACTCATAATCTGCTCTTTCAAATCATTTCGATCCTTTGGGATACACCACCTCCCGTGAAATCGAAGACTCCCATCTGGAGCAATATTAAAATTTTGAGTCTGACCGTACTGAACTTTCACTGCAAGCTCAACCATTTTATTATCTTCCATTTGAGCCGCTCTAATGCGATCATAAATTTCAGGCTCAACTTGTATCATTTGCAAATATCCCCGAGTCATACCCCGTCCAAGTACCTCAATTTCCATCCGCGCTAAATCTTGGCACAGTTCATCAGCAACCGACATGAAGCCCAAGTTATGCCTTGGTTTTCGACTTAAGGCATCGGCTACAACATTTGCTTTGCCTTCATGATACACAATTTCAAGATCATAATCCTTCACTAATTCTAACCATCTTCTTTGTCTTAAATTCAATTCTTTTTGGGTGAAGATATATTTCAAACTTTGATGGTCAGTAAATATTCTGCAATGGGCTCCATAAAGATAGTGTCTCCAAATCTTCAAAGCAAACACCACTGCTGCCATTTCCAAGTCGTGTGTCGGATAATTCTCTTCGTGAGGTTTTAGTTGTCGTGATGCATAAGCAATAACTCTTTGATTCTGCATTAAGACACATCCCAATCCCTGCTTCGAAGCATCACTATACACTTCAAACTCCTCACCTTCCACTGGTAAAGCCAAAATTGGCGCTGAAGTTAATCGATGTTTCAATTCTAAAAAGGATGACTCACACTCGTGATCCCAGTTAATCTTTGCATCCTTTTTCAGCAAATTAGTTAATGGTTTTGCAATCTTCGAAAAATCAAGAACGAATCGCCGATAATATCCTGCCAAACCCAAAAAGCTTCTTACTTCTGATTGATTGGTAGGTCTTGGCCAATCCAAGATTGCCGCCACTTTAGAAGGATCTACTGAGATACCCTTTCCAGAAACAATATGCCCCAAGAAAGCAACCTCCTTCAACCAAAACTCGCATTTGGATAACTTGGCATATAACTTTCTTGCACGCAATATGTTTAATATTACATGCAAATGTTTTGCATGCGTCTTTTTATCTGGGGAATAGACCAAGATATCGTCAATAAATACCACCACAAACTGATCGAGGTATGGTTGAAAAATTCTATTCATCAACTCCATAAACGCAGCCGGGGCGTTAGTCAACCCAAAGGACATAACCGTGAATTCATAATGCCCGTATCTAGTCCGAAAAGCTGTCTTCGGAATGTCATGCTCTGCAATCCTTAGCTGATGATATCCAGATCTCAAGTCAATCTTTGAGAATATAGTTGCACCTCTCAGTTGATCAAATAGATCATCAATCCTCGGAAGAGGATATTTGTTCTTCACCGTGACTTTGTTCAGTCCACGGTAGTCAATACATAACCTCAAACTTCCATCCTTCTTTTTCACAAATAAAACTGGAGCTCCCCAAGGCGATGTACTAGGCCGAATGTAACCCTTATCTAGCAATTCCTGTAGTTGCAATTTAAGTTCAGCTAGTTCTAAAGGTGCCATCCGGTATGGAGCCCTTGATACTGGCTCAGCACCCGGCACAATATCAATAGCAAAATCCACCTCACGAGCTGGTGGCATACCCGGAATGTCATCAGGAAATACATCAGGAAAATTTCGGACTACAGGAATATCTTGCAATCGCTGCTCCCCTTGCGTCAAATCTCTTACCTCACACAGATATACTGGAAACCCCTTACGAATAAATGATTGAAATGATAGGGATGAAATTACCTTCATAGAAGGTTGTCTGGCAGATCCTGCATAATTCACCTGTTCGCCCATCGCTCCAACCAGCGAAATTGATCTTTTTCGACAATCAAATTGAGCTTGATATGCCACTAACCAATCCATCCCCAATATTACATCGAACTCGGATAGCTTGATGCCCAACAAGTTAGTAACAAAATCAACCCCTTCAATACTAACCGGAATCTGCATATAAAGCTCTCGGCATTCCAACACTTCTCCTGATGGAAGTAAAACTTCCACTACCACTTCTACTGATGAATTCAGACCCAATCGTCTAACTAGACGCTTAGATATGAACGAGAACGTTGCACCCGAATCGAATAACACAAGAGCAGGAAAACCGCAAACCAGAAATCTACCCGTTAAAACCTCACCTGGATGATAATCAGCTTCTGCTTGGGTAAGAACATTTATTCGTCCACGCTGGTCAGGTCCTCTGCCTGGCTGCCTAGATGACGAACGTGACTGACTTCGTCCCCCTCGCCAAGATGATCCTAATCCTCTCCCTTGTGACTGCGAAGACGGCGGCTGCCATGGCCTAAACCTCGGTTCTGGAAACTCCCTTGCAGTTACCACACTTGGACATAACCTGGCAATGTGACCACTACCACCACATTTAAAACATGTTAATGGAACTTTATCACAACGAGTACCTGGGTGGCTTGTTCCACAACGCCGACAAACAGCCCCCGATTGCTGAGACCTCTCCTGACTCGGTTCATTAATCGAAATCCCCTTATACGATGGCCCAGACCTGAACATTTGCCACCATTTCTTTTTACCCTTGGGCTCATCCTCCACTTTAGCTTTTCCCTTATCTCGAACCTGATGTTGATAACCTATTTCCTTCTCACTCTCCTTTTGTCTGACTTCCTGCTTCTGATAAAATCGGGCAGCACGCTCGTAAGCCTCATACAATGAACTGATATCCAACACCGCTAAAGCTTCTTGAATTCTGTGTTGCAACCCGTCTACAAAATGGTCAATTCTGTCTCGCTCACAGGAAAAGTAGTCAGGAACATACATCTCCAACTCATTAAACTTCACAAAATAATCCTCAACTGACATCGAGGCCTGCTTTAAGTCCAGCAATTCTTGCTTCTTCGCTTTTCGAATATGCGACGGTATAAACCTAGCCTTTAACTTTGCTTTAAATTCATCCCAAGTCATATCCACTTGGTCTACACCTGCAGCTTCTTCACCTAACCACCACCGATTTGCTCGGCCTTCCAAGAAATAGGCTCCAATATTAACTCGTTGATCTGGCGGAACCTGAACAACACGAAATATCTTTTCCATCTTTTCAACCCAAAACTCAAGGACTCCTGGCTCCACTGAACCAGAATATGTTGGTGGGTTATGCCGCATCACAGCATCAATGAAACTCCTCTGTTGAGGCATCATCGCGGCCATAAACTGCCGAAAGAAATCCTGACTAGGTGCCTCTGTTGGTACATGCGCTGGCACAGGATACTGTGACTCATCAGACGAAGGATCAAACTCTGGGCCTTGAATAGCCCTACGTACACCACCACCTCGAGAATTCGACATACTGCCCCCAATTTTTCCTGATTCAATATCAATTCAGCACACAGCTAAACCAAGCATAACAATAAAAGATAGATCACATTAACATGAATGCACCCGCAAAACCCAAACCTCACCAAACCAATTCAATATCATTATTATTTTCAAAACCTTTTTAATTCAAAGAGCCAAAATCTATCAAACCTAGGCTCTGATACCAACTTGTAACACCCCCAGTTGGCTCATACTGGAAATGCTACCGCCACACTGCATCATGAGGTCGTCACCTCCTACTTCGGGCCCCACAACACAGTGTTAAGGCTAAAATTAATTATATAAGCATTTTATTATCCCAAAAAAAAATAGTTTATAAATATTTACAAAAACATACTCCCAAAACGGGAGGTTTTTCTAGTTAGAATTTACATATAATACATCAGATGCAGTTCACTCATTCAGCCCGTCTTTCTATCTCCCGAGACGTCCCCTGTCCCGGAGGTGCCATGCGTACCTGAATCAAATATTTTTCTTAAAAGCAGTCTAGAATTAAATCCATTTTAAGAACTAACATAAAATATGCCATGTCATGCTCGAAAATAGAGTTTAATTTCCGTCATTTGCAAAATAAATGCCATGCCATGCCCATACTGAAATAATGTAACAATAATGTCAAAATCGACAACTCATGCACATATACCCATATACATATGTCAAAGTGAGCAGCCGGAATAACCTCGGCTCCATAATAACAGCTCACTAGACTATCATCAATAAATAGCCGGAAAATCCTCGGCTCAAGGAAGGACCTGGTAAACCCATAATAATATAACGGTCACCCGGTCACTCCCATATACCCACCATACGACTCCCGCAATCAATACATGGATAGTCGAACGTTGTCGCCATTAACCACAAGACACCCCATAGTCTGTGATAGCGAAGATAGGACCCTCCTGTCTAGCCCTACCCCGTGTAACGTAGTAGAATCCGTGCAACCTGGAATCACCCGAAGGAAACCCGGAAACTCTACTCCTCCTCGCACGCCCTAACGGGATCGCGTTTGGAGTTTGGCATCTGATCCTAAACTACCGGTAGACCTCACTAGTAGCTACTCCAATGAGTGGAACAACACCGAACCCGAATGATTAGACCAAATACGTCTCAACTGCAATGGGTCTAATCCCTGAATGACCGTGCGACTAAGTCACCCAGTTGTCCGACTACTATCGTCCACTATCGCCAAAGTGTTACGGTACATCGGGGTCGAATATCCTAACCCCAGATGATGCCCTCGCCTAGCACTACCGCACACGGCGACTAAACGATAGATCCATAAAACATATCCGATAAATCGTGCAATGTGTGCAGCATGTCAATAAGTGAATTTAATGAAAAGGGCTGGTGAGACGGCCCACCTATCCTCCTTTTTATAAATTCACCAACACGATCAAATACGTATATCAAATATCGTAAAACGAAGTTTCACACATGCATATACACACACATATATACATATATAGATGCACTGACCAAATGAAACATAATATCATATCAATATCAGAATCAGAATCACATGCAATATAAATACCTAATTTCTTAAAATTAGATTTAATTCCCTACTGCTTACCTCCTACCGATACTTTCTGGATTTTATAACTTCACCCAAATCTCCTCCAACGTACACCTGTCCCATTATTTACTCAAATCAGATGAGCTTTATGCTTATTCTCAGGAGCTACCTGCTTATTCAAAAGCTAATTTCTATAATTAACTCGTCGGGCTCCAAACTTTTATATTTAGTAGAATATGATATTCTAGCTATAAAATCCTTCTACCTCATAATATTTATATTGCCCGATTATTAAATAAAAATACGCAAAGGTATGAACAAGCAGGCAGGTGCGATATACTGCCGTTTTTTTATTCGACTTGGATTGGTACGAAATTCTCAAAATATAATGTCGGCGCTACGAATAGGCTATTAGCTAAAGAAATTCATCGATTAAATAGCTAAATAGCCAATTTTGAATTTTTTGAAGAATTTCTAATTTAATACTCCAATATCAAAATTCGTATTAAAATTTATAATCAGACTCTACGAATAGCAAGGAATACCATACCCAAGTCGGAATTGGAATCGAACGGCTAAATCTTTTTTTTTTTTTTTTTTTTTCTTTCTTTCTCCTTCTTCTTCCTCCCTTCCTTCTCCTCCTTTGGTTCGTTGCTGTTGCTGCTGCTGCGTTGGATTCTTTCTTTCTTTTCATATTATATATATATATATATTATATTATTATTATTATTAAACGTTATATATTATTATTATATTATTATTGTTATTAACGATGATAAGAATCATCATCTACTATATTATTATTATATATATATTATATTATATATTATATATTATATATTATATTTATATTTATTTTTAATTTTATCGATATTTATCCATTTAACATTCTATTTAATTATAACTAATATACAAAATTGGAATATAATTTATCCCAAAATATTAGTTTCTTGATTCCATTACTATTGTCAAATATTTATTTGCTATAATAATATTATTTTATACATTCCGAAATCGGGGCATTACATGTGGAATATATAAAATAGAAAAGACTAATATAACATTATTATTAGTATTGTGTGATATAAAGGTAATGACATTTGTGTAATATATTGTAAATTGTAAGGGTATTTTTAATGTTAGTAGAAAGTACTGTTACTAAAAAAAATAAAAAAATAAATATTTTGTTATGGGACGAATCAAAATAGAAAAATTGATAAATTGTTAATAAACGAAGAGAGGGAGTATATTATTTATAAGGGGTCTTTTAGTTTTATTATTATTATTATTATTATTATTATTATTATTATTATTTTGCATTAAGAAGAAAATAAGTATTAGACAAAATTATTATTATTATTAGGCAAAATTATCAATAACTCTCTTGTTGTTTTGAAATTCAGCGTAAATCATTTCTATAATTTATAAATTGCATTACGCCCTTTTATACTTTTAAAATTGTTGAATAAAACTCCTTTTTATATTTTTTGGATGATGAGAATATGATTTCTCATTTATATTTTTTTTTATGGTGTGAGTTTCATATAACATTTGTTAAAGTATAAAGGGACGCTACACAGTTTTTAAAGTATATGAAAATTTTATTATAAGTTTCAAAACTACATGAAAATTATGAACAATTTTATCTTATTATTATTGATATTTTTGCATAAAAATACTAAAAATAATGTTTTCTTATTATTTATATTTGAGTAAACTATTTTTTTAGTCTCGTCACTGGACCCCTTTATCGTTTTAGTCTCGTAAGTGGATCATATCGCAAATTAGTCCCATAAGTGGAAAATTTTCGTTGTTTTAGTCCTCCGGCGCCGGAGATATCCGCGTGGGTCGCCGGAGGTGACGTGTCCGCCAGGTGTCCCGCCAGTTCAACGACACCTGGCGGACACGTGGATTTATTTATTTATTTATTTTTATTTTTTTTAATTTTTTTAATTGGACCAAATAAAAAAAAATTAAAAATAAGTTTTAAAAAAATTTTAAAAAATGAAAAAAAAAAAAAAATATCCACGTGTCCGCCAGGTCAGCGACACCTGGCGGACATGTCACCTCCGGCGAGCCACACGGGTGTCTCCGGCGCCGGAGGACTAAAACAACGAAAATTTTTCACTTATGGGACTAGTTTGCGACAGGCTCCACTTACGGGACTAAAATGATAAGGGGGTCCAGTTACGGGACTAAAAAAACAGTTTACCCTTTATATTTTACTATAGGTAAAAAAATATTATATATATATTTAAGGGCCCCTAACTTTTATTTCGGCCCGGGCCCTTCGAAAGTCAGAATCGGCCTTGCCTATATGAGAGAGATAAAGAAAATAATAGCCTAGATGTAACGACTATAACGCATGCTCTTATCAAAACATACAATACTCTCTCCGTCCCAATAGAGTTGTATTGTTTTTCTATTTTCGTCCGTCCCAAAGCAATTGTCTTGTTTCCTTATTTAGTAATCGTGGTCCCCACTTTATAACAAAATTATTCATACTTTTCAAAACTACCCTTAATTATTACTCTAATCTACTTTTTAAAATCATTCACAAAATAAGGGTATTTTAGTCTTTTACCTTCTATTTTATACTTACTTTCAATTAAATACTATTTTTCCTTCATTCTCGTAGCCACTCCCAATAAGACATATTTTTTTGCGACAGAAAGAGTATATATTTTGTGTATATTAAAAGATCAATAGTTTAATATAATATTATTCTTTATATTACCAACATAATTTTCTATATATAACATAAAATACATACATAAAAAAACACAAAATAAACACACATCATTACCTTAATTATTATTTATAGATATTTTACTATATAATTATCATGTATATATATAAAAAAAATTATTATTTTTATAAATTATTACGCTTAAACTACTATTCGAATAAAATAATAAAAAATCACAAAGCAAACACACAATCTATATAACCGTTCAATATATATCCATACAAAGTATATATACGTTTTGTTTCGTTTTTATATTTTAATACTCCCCGTACCGTTGGTGTGATGTTTTGTGCATATTACACTTCGACCCGACCCGACCTATCGAAACCCGGATCCCGTGCCCGCGGTTCGACCCGATTGAGTGATGAATTGGAGGATGGGTTCGGTTGGCCTGAACCGCCCTGGACCGCCCTCAAACCGGTCCAAGGGGTCTGATATATATATACCCTGCTTCCCGGTTCACTGGACAGATTAATCCTCACTCCTTCACATCGCGATATTCACTCTCTGGAGCCCTAGTTTTCCCGACGAATGCGATCGATCTGTCTGGTGCATTCCGGCGAGTTTGGCCATCGAAACTTGAAGTTCATCCACCGTGGTTGTATTACAGCTTGTTCTAGAGCTGTTCTTCGGTTTGATTTCTCGATTCTATGTTTATGGGCTGTTCGTGGTGTAATTGATTGTCCGCGATGATTTAGGCTTAGAATCTTGAGATTTCTTTCGATTAGGTTGTTAATCGCGCTGATTGTGCGTTTCTGTGGATGTCGGTAGTGTTTGGGTCGAGGTTGTGTGTAAGTGTTGCTAGTCGGTTGAAATATTGGGTAAACTGAGTCCGGACTCCTTCGATTAACAAAGTATATAAAAGATTCGATGTTTCTTGTTTCGTATGTGTTCGATTAGTTGTAAACTACAAGTATTAGGTCCTAAATTTTGATTACAAGTGGTATCAGAGCTGGTTAGGGCTTGCTAGTTTACTGGAATCGTGATTTTCGAGTTCCTGGAGTGAACGCCTAGTTCTCTCTGTAAAATCCGAAGGTTTTGTGTAAATAATTTCAAGTTTTTCGAAGTCTTGGTTGTTTACTGTTCTGTCGAAGTGAAAACTGAATTTTTATGGTGTTTTCACTTCTGTAAAGTTTAGATCTCCTTGATTAAGGACTAAGATAGGCCTGTAGGAGATTAGGACTTGAAATCATCCTTGTTTGGTTGATTTGGGTAGTTCCTTGTTGATTGATTCATCCAAACTTTACTAATTTGTGTATTAAGTGCGCAGTTGGAAGGATTTTACAGGTTGGAGGTCTTGAATTACGAAAAGAATGTCAAAGAATAGTTGCGGAGCTTGGAGTGGGTAACATTCCTAACCCTGTCACATATTTTTGTGAGATTTCAGTTTTGGGGTGACTAAGTGTGGCGATTTGAGTTTGTTAAGTGGCTGTTTTTGTGCTAAGTGGCTGTTTCTGTGATAAGTGTGGCTGTTTGAGGTTATTGTGACAGTTAAAGTGTTAGTTAGAGCAGTTTGTGTAAAGCTGGTTGTGTGTTATGAAATATTAACTGCTCCTAAGTTAGTTTTCTCAAGAAACTAACCCTTGGATTAGTTACTATTCAGTTTTTTCTCTGTTCTGGAGCATTCTTATCTGGTGGATATTTTTGTTGAGATTTTATAAACAATAAATCTGTTTTTAAAGCGATCCAGTGAATCTGTTCTTAGGACCAGTAGTTTTTCTTGTGAAATTTGGCCTGTTCTTGTGTCTTTTTCTTAAAACAGATTGTTTTTCCTCTTCATTTTAAAAACATGGCTAGTCAAGCATTTTTTAATATACAACCTTTTGATGGAAAATCTGATTTTGCAATTTGGAAACAAAAGATGAGAAGTGTTCTTGTAACTCAAAGATTGATAAAAGCAGTTGAACCTGATCAAGCAACAGACCTTTCTCTTGAAGAAAGGTTTGAACTTGATGAACTTGCATCTTCATGCATTATTTTAAACCTAGCTGACCATGTAATTAGAAAAATAGGTACTTATGGTTCAGCTGAGGATTTGTGGGACAAATTAAATAACATGTATACTGAAACTTCACTTCCAAATAGGATACATTTGTTAGAACAATTCTTTAGTTTCAAATTAGATCTTTCAAAGACAATAGATGAAAATTTAGATGTTTTTTCAAAGTTAATTCAAGATATAAAACTTACAGGAGATAAAAACATAGATGATTACAGCTCTATTGTTATGTTAAATGCAATCCCTAGTACATATTCAGATGTAAAATCAGCTATAAAATATGGTAGGGATGTAATTACTCTAGATGTTGTGGTAAATGGTCTAAAAAGTAAAGAAGTGGATTTGAAACTAAGTAAAGCTAATAAACATACACATGGTGAGGTGATGCATGTTAGGGGTAGATCTCCCTTTAGACCGAATAAAAATGGCTCTTTTTCAAATAACAATAAGCAATGGAATAACTCCTACAATAGTCAATATAAGAAGAAGTCTAGGAGTAAGTCTAGGAATAGATCTCAAACCCCTTCAAAGTATGTTAAACGGTGTTTTAATTGTGGTGACACTTCACATTTCATTAGGAATTGTCCTAAGAAGAATAGAAACTTGAATAACAACAACAATAACTTTAGAAATGGAACACCCACTATTAATACCTCTTCAAATGAACAAGTAAATTTGATTTCTCATGATGATAGCTTAGGTGAAGTGTTTGCTGTTACTGCTGAATGTTCCAATGTGACTGCTTTTAATAAGAATGAATGGTTATTAGATTCAGCTTGCACCTATCAC